AAGTTGTCGTTCTTCCTATATAGAATGTGTCAGCTAGCTCATATTCAAACCATGGTTTGATTTGTGCTTACACTGGACAAAGGGTCTGCGCCTGGTTGTGCTCGTTTGCGTTTCTTAGGGGTTGAAGCCACTGGCAGTTCTCTCTGTAACGCGCGTCGAAGTTCGAAGTAAGAGTACCGGGCACCGAATATTGCGCCCCATTTTTCCAGCTCCGCTTTATTATCGCTGTTCTTGATGAAGTCCAGTTTCCGCAGCTCGGGATTATAAGCATACATGCTCTCACGGATTTTAGGACCCCATACAGTCCACGGCTTCCCGCCGGATTGCTGCCACAATTAGCGAGGTTAGCTCCGTACCGGAGAAATGCTCTTACCTCGTCCACTCCTTCCACCAGATAATATTTGATCGCGTTGTCGACGGTTCTTTCCCGAACCGTGCGGAAAAGCTTAACCCAAATTACATGCTCGAAGCGCTGTTGGTAGAGCTTCGTCTGCTGCCGTTTGTCTGGGTCCTTTTTTTCCCAATCTGCCGGAAGATCATTCTAAAAGTTTAGCAGTTTTTCATGAATGCGTCAGACTTTCCTTACATAAGAAGCTGCGATGGATTTTTCGAGCCAGATGTCTCGGTCATCACCAGTGAAGTGGATCAGTACTCGAACAATAAAGTCATCCGCTGCGTCGAGTTGCGTATTCAAAAATTTCTTCGTCGGGAGAGACATATTCAAGTATGGGCGAATAAGATCCTTCCACTGTTCGTGTTTTCGAGATTTCGAAGCGTTTCCGGCGGGCTGATACGCTGGATTAACCCATTTGATTATGTGCTGGAAAACTTTCGCAACAGCGTGGTACTCGTTATTGGCAAGTCGTGCGAGCTTCGCAAACGTATAGATGCGTGGAACGTTGCCTTTTGCCAGTTTGTCGTAGACGCCCCCATACTCATCGTCGCTGAGGTACTTGAATATTTCAGGGTTTCGGTAGGATCTCGATCCCACGTTTGCAATATGTTTCGCCAATTGCATTTTCACAGTCGACAAATCTGGAAACATGGTGTGTGCCAGCTTGGTGGAATCCATGAAAACCATGCGTGCCGCTTCAACGAGTTCGACGTCTGCGGCGCTGAATCTTTCCCGATTGTTATACCCCACGACGGTTTCCATACTTTTGAACGTTACGTTAAAATACATCGTCCATATCTTTGCCCAAGTTAACGTTAATCACAGGTCTCCATAGTTTCGACGGCTTACCTCGTCCATTCGGGTGGATGCCATTCGATCCAATGTGGAAACATTCAGAACCTCCCTACCCCAGGGGGTCCGGCAGATCTTGTCGACTACAGGCTTCAGTGCATGCTGTAGAAGCGTGCAAAATCTTTGCGCTTTAGTTGATGGGAGTCGCGTCGCTCGAGAAGCCCAGGACTCGAATTCGGCTTTAGAGCTCAGTTGCTGTTTACGCTCAGCCTCTGTCATTAATTGTAGAAGCTGGCTCAGTCTTGCCCAGATATCGCCATCGCTTTCTTTTAGAATAGTTGGTCGCACGTTTTCGCATAGACGTATTTTAGCTTCCTCGGTCAAGATACTAATGTCATAAAAATCTGTTGGCCAGATCGCTATCTTTGATAAAGTCAGAAATCAAACCATGGTTTGAATTGGCCCTGACTTACATCTAACTTTTCCTCTTCAGAAAGGTTCTTGTGGTTGGACAGTATCGAGATGATCTGCCGCGCGGCGATGTTGACCAGCGTACAATGCAATGTCCTGGCCAGTTGCGTTACCTGTTGGGAAGTAGCTGAGTTCGGCTCCGAATCTATATCCTCCCATCTTGTGCTTTTCCAAAACTTCAGGCGGTGGCGATCCAACCATTCTAGCAAAGTCGTCGGCTGTGCAACCCGCAGACAATCTGTTCTCCACGGTGGTCTTTCGCAAACCGGTATCCATGAACAGAGTTGATAACTCTTTCACTTGGTGATTGTTGATGGGGCGATTCGACTTCATTCCAGACCCCCAATTGGGGTTCATCTGATCAACTGGGACTGCCACTGTCCCGAGGTATGCTTGCATGATGACGAGTTCGACAGGGTCCTCCCAATGGAGATTCTGGTTGACGATCTCTCTGGATACTAGAGTCGTGTACATTATTATTTAGTTGTCTCGAAACTATAATAGAACCAAGCCTTACTTTTACCTGGGTCATCGTCTACTACTGTTTTAGTATCAGAATTAAAATAGCTCTTGGAATACCACTTACCGTCTGGTTCTTCATCATCTTCCTCCTCACCTATGATACGTCAGCTTATTATAAAGTCTTGGATACGGTACGGCAGTGTAATTCAGTTCAAGAATGGTGTAATGTCTGTCTACTCTTGATTAACACCTCTCGTATGATTGACTTACGCTGCCTAGTTTCTTCATCGCTGCCTTGAGGTTGTTCATCGATAGCTATGTTTCCTTTAGCCAATATAGTCAGAATCCACCGCCTTATTTCTCTTACACCGCTGACGCTGGTCATCATGGAGGCTCTCCACTTCAAATTTGTTAGCCACAATATCTAAGAACTTTGATTGATCCTTACCAATAGATTCCATTGTGGATGGGT